GATGGTTGCGAGGTCTCTTATACAGATTGGTGTCTCAATCTTGCTATTTGTGCTTTAAGAGTGACTAAAAGAAGAGGTTAGAAGATAAACAAAAGTAGAAATTGTATCAGAAAACCAATGTGAAGGAACCAAGCGAAGGTAACTGCACCATTCCTACAATTTTGAGTGCGTATCGGTTTTGGTGTGCCTTAAATTAATAGATGCCACTAGAAGTCTGTGTGTGCAGTGAGATATAATTTGAAATTTGGGTGCCAAGTGAGAATGTTGTTTATAAGTAATTTTGTAAAGGACTAAAAGCATTATGAAAGAAAAATTCTGCTTTTGCTGAAAAAAAAAAAAAGAATTCATGAATTTAAAACTAAACGACTATTAAAATGAGACAAAAGAACAGATTTTTTGAAGTAAGTTGTGCCAGATTTACTTAATTAAAAACAAAATTAAAAAATCCAAACTAAAATACCTCATCATTAAAAGATTTTTTTGTGTGAAGAATTTCTTCTTAATCCAAAGCAACAATGTAATGATAGTCCCAAAGCAAAAACATAAGAAATGACACACATGGACATTTAGAATGAAGGATGGCAATAGACTCTGTTTGGGATGGTTAAGCATTGTCCAATTAACTAATTTTCTTAAATTAAGTAAGTTTACTTTTACTTTTAAGTGAAGAATTTTTAGGCACAAGTAGTAAAGAGAGGCAGCTGTTGTGCGTAATATTTAATAATAAATAATTTTTATATTTAAAGTTTTACATTACACCTTTAGAATTAATGTACTAGTAATAATGCCTATATGGCAAAGGCATAGATTGAGATGTACCTAATTTTTCATTTCAATAATAATAGGCTGTCAATAAAAAAAAGAAAAAGAAAAAAGGTAGCAATAATAATAGGTAGTGTAATATTTATACAGATTGGTTATTACTCCTAGTTAATATAATATAGTTCCAACAATCCTATTGTGTATATATAATATTTGTTATATATAATTAAGAAAAAACTAAATATATAGTTTTCACAATTTTTAACTGTTAATGATTTTAGTCTGCAGAAGGAATCAGCTTATAGTTCGTTGTGTCATATGATCTCTAAATTTTTCAAGTGGGTGATAGTCAGCCATTTCAAGTAGGCCTAGCAAATGGGTGGGTCAAGACAGGTTAAAACAGGTTACAGGTTAATCCATAGGTTGACCTTGTTGAACTTTTTTTTTTTCTACATTTTTATTCCTTTTTAAATCTAAAAGATTGAGTATTGGAAAAGCCAAGCAACAAAATTCTATAAGTGGGCTATCAATTAATTCCAGTTCTAAAAATTTAAGAATCAAAATAGGGGGGAAAAAGGGGGAAAAACAGACTCATTGTTGTAGCATTACTAATTAGAAAAAATAAGTATTGGTAAGTGATATGGCTTGCTGTGTGGCTACACAAAGAGATGAAGATCCAACAATGATATTTTGGGAGGAAAAAAAATGAGGGATTTAGAGTAGAAATTGTTTTAGACTATTTATTTATTTTAATAAAATAAAATAAATTATTTAAAAAAATAAACAGGTCAAACATGTTAGCCCGTTGACCCATTGAGTTAACTTGTTATCGACCCATGATCCAACAGGTTCTCTTAATGGATTATTAAGGGGTCACAAGTCAAAACGGTCTAACTTTAACTCGTTTTAAACAGGCATGTCTTAGGTTGGCTAATAGGTCAAGCTGAGAATTGTCAAATCTAATTCCAAATTGGGAAATGCAGCCTACAAAATGAATGAATGCATCATGCCATTGATAATGAAAGGATAAGGACAATTATTAGTTTCTAAATTAAAGCCAAAATGAAAGTGAAATGGGAAACATATTACCTCAGTAGAAAGAAAAACAGTCAATAACTTCTCACAATTTTCAACACTTAATGATTTTAGTTTGCAAAAGGAATCTGCATGTACTTTGCTATGTCATATCATCTCCAAGTTTCTCAAGTGGGTGATAACCAACCATTCCAAGTCAGGAAATGTAGCCTACATAATGAATGAATGCATCATGCCATTGACAATGAAAGGATATGGACAATTATTAGTCCCTAAAATTAAAGCCAAAATGAAAGTGAAATGAGGAATATATTACCTCAGCAGAAGGAAAAATAGTCAATAACTTTTCACAATTTTCAACTCTTAATGATTTTAGTCTGCGAAAGGAATCTGCCTGTGGTTTGTTGTGCCATATCATCTCCAAGTTTTTCAAGTGGGTGATAGTTAGCCATTCCAAGTAGGGAAACACAACCAACATAATAAATGAATGCATCGTGCCATTGACCATAAAAGGATAAGGACAATTATTAGCGCCTAAAATTAAAGCCAAGATGAAAGTGAAATGAGAAACATATTACCCGTTCATTGAACAGCGTTTGTATGTCAACTATGCAACTTGTGCTTTCAGAATATTTAACTGTGAACTCCTTAAATTTTGGGCAGTTTAGTACTCCCAAATGCTTTAAGGATGAGAATTCAACAATACAATTTCCTAAGTAGAATCCAACAAGGCTTTGAAGGTCTTCTATAAATAGGTAGTGCAATTGGTGAAAAATCAAATTCTCTTTTTCTTCTGCATTCTCTGTGAAAATAATCTCTCTCATCCCCTTGCATTGCCTTATTACAAGGTGTTCAAGCATCACTAGATCTCTAGTCACACAAGATGAGAATAAAACTTCCAAATTATCAAAGCCTTGAATGATCAAATTCTTCAGTTTCTTGAAACAAAAAGATGTTACTGAAGTGTGCCATTTGATGTTAACATTGATACTGCATAATTTTAGCCCCTTTAGGCTTGGTAACACAACCTGTATAGAATTCATTTTGTAAGAAAAGCTTATCATTTTGTTGATGGCTAAGAAAAAGGATGGTCAATGGTGTTAAAAATTATAGAATGGAGGAGGTAAGCCATGTTCTCCTTAATTGTAGCTGGAACTATAAGTGGTGGTGTCTTAACTACTTGTTTCTAGGGAGGACAGTTATAGCGAGGAAAGTTTGGTCATTACTGTTTTCTGTTATCACTTGAACTGTGTGGATAATAATTATGCAAAAACAAAAGGTTATTTAAAGGGGAGGACTGATCTACTTATATGGCTGTCTAATTGATTCAAATTAAAGGAGATCATTTATGTGGACAACAAGCAATTAAGGTGGATGGTTATGCGGTCTCTTATTCAGATTGGTGTCTCAATCTTGCTCTTTGTGCTTCGGGATTGACCAACAGAAGAAGTTACCAAGATAAATAGAAAAGCAGAAATCACATCAGAAGGCCAGTGTGATGGAACCAGGCGGGTAACTGCACCACTAATTCCTATATATTTTGAGTGTGTATTGGTTTTGGCATGCCTTAAATTAATAGGTGCCACTACAAATATGTGTGCAATGAGATATAATTGAGATTTGGGTTCCAAGTGAGAATGTTGTTTATAAGTAATTTTGTAAATGATTAAAAGTAATATATATAATATGATATATAATATTATTTTTTATTATATGCATATTAAATAAAAAATATTAAGAAATGGGACTCTTTGTTTTCTTCTTCATTTAAGAATCCAATTATACTTCAACATGCATTTAAAACTTTTCATATTCAACAACTATTTATTAAAATATTATTTATTTTTATTATATTTAAAGTTCAATATTAAATCCAAATGAAAATTTGTAACAACTAAAACTTTTAAACGTCCTTTTCTAAGTCTATAAGAGAAAATTCTTAGGGAGTGTATTTCTTCTACTTTCTACTTTCATTAAGATATTAGTAAAAATATTCTAGTTAGATCTATTATATGACTATTAGAATTTCTTAAAAAGTCTATAATATATCTAATAAAAAAATATTTCATAATTTAAATTATTTTAGAAGATGAAATAGTAAGCGGATTTTATTTTTAATATAAATTTATATTTAATATAAAGGTTAGTATAGTATAAATTGTTTTTTTTTTTAAATTTTGTTTGGAGAATATATTAAAATTTTATTTTTAATTAATATTTTTTAAAAAAATCATTAGATTA